TGGCATAGGAAGGTCCCCAGAGGGAAGGCCTGTGAGTTCCGGGCAAGTCTTTCCAGCTTGCATCCGTGCAGGGACTCCGCTGCCTCCGGAAGTGAGCGTGACCTTCTGTCCTGTTCCCTTGGAGGAGCTCTTCCCAGGAGAGCTCGGTTGGGAAGAGGACTGTGGGAAAACCCATGCAGCTCCTCGGGGCTTCTCAACCTCGCTAGGTCTTGGAGGAAGCGCGAGTATTTCCCTGAAGGACTCAGCTTCTTCTGGGGCCTGAGTTTTCAAGGGTCCCCAGCGCTAGGCACTGGCTCCCAAGCCAGTTCTGCATGCCCAGCATGGAGGGCAGCTGTGGACTGCAGCCAGGGAGCCTGATGCTTGTTCTCATGCTACTGTCGAGGAGCCCACAGGTCCTGCTGGTGAATGCAGGGGGAGGGCAGGAAGCAAATGGGAAACTGTGCTCTAATTGGCTGTGGTCAGAGTGGTCCTCAGCAGATCTGGGTGCTCACTAGAAATGCAGATCACCAGGTCCCAGCCTGCACCTAGCCTCAGAGCTCTGGGCGGGGCCCACCCTGGGTTTTAATAAGCTTTCAAGGTTGTTCTTGTGAGCTCCAAGGGGCATGAGGACCGTGACACAAGTGATCTGCCACCCCTGGGGCACCTGGGGTTGTGGGCTGTCACTGGTCTGAAGGTGTCCTCTGCAGACACCTCCCACTGTGTGGGCTAGGGAGGGGGGAGTGCTTGCTCTAGGGCGTGGAGCGGGAATTCTCACAGGGCTTCCCAGAGTTCCCAGGTTAAGGAGGGAAGCGAAGCTGATGGAGGAACTGAGCTTTTGAAAGATAATATTTTTTCTCCTAAAAATTAGGGGTGCAGCTGGGGGTGCAGCTCACTGGTAGAGGCTTGCCTAGAATTGCCCTGGGTTCCAAAAAAAGGAAGAAAAAAAAAAGAGGAATGAATTGGAACATTTACCACCAGGTTTGTGGTATCAAGAAGCTGCTCTAAAGGCTGGGGTGGTGGCTCAGTGGTGGAGCACTTGCCTGGCATGTGTGAGGCTACTGTGCTCAGCACCACATAAATATAAAAAATAAAGGTCCATGGACAACTAAAAAGAAGCAGCTGCTCATTTAATACTAAGAGTGACAAAGGGAACAAAAGAAAAATAACCCAGGGTCAGAACTGTCTTATTTCTCTGTAATGTATGTGCAAATTAAAAATATTATCAAATGCTTTATCTTATAGTGCTAACATTAAGGTATTTTTAAAAGTCATCGGAGAGCAATAGAGTGGAAAGGATCATTCTCTAGCTGCGAGCTTGTGGATCTTGGCCTTGGCAGTGTTTGCCCTTCTCCCGGGAGCGATGGGTTCTTTTAATCCCAAAGGAAACAGATCTGCTGAACGTATCAGGCTTCCTTGTTTACTTTGGCTGGAAGGCCTGACCTTAAATCCAGCCATGTGTAGGACAAATGTTATTTATCTGTACACACGTGCAAATACATCTACCTACAAACACAAGTGTTTTGTACACACACACACACACACACACACACACACACGCACACACGGACATACAGACAGGCCTCGTTCTTGGTTTCATTTTATGTCCACCATTATTTTTTTCCTCCTATATCATCCTTTATTCCTATTTCTGCTTTAATCAAGTCTTCTTATAATTATCTTTTTAACCCACTTTAAAAATTTTTGAGAGGAGACGAACTATAAATTAAAAAAGTAGAATAAAAATACAATGTGTAGAGAAAAGGGATAGAGGAAATGTACCAGATTCGAGTAGGCTGGTTTTTGGCAGGGAGGTGATGGTGGTGGTGATTGGATTAGATGTGATATTAACTTTGCCTCAAATTTGAGATTTTCTACTTAAGATTGTATCATCAGAAAAATCACTTTTTTATTTATTTTTTTTTCTGCAGCACTGGGAAGTGAACCCAGGGCCTCATATGTGCTAGCAAGGGCTCTACCACTGAGCCACACCCCGAGCCCTAAAACCCTTTTTTTTTTCCAAGCAGTCTTTCCTCCTCCTTAGTTCAGTACTGAGGATTGAACCCAGGCCTTACACGTGCTTGGCAAGCCCTGGGCATCTCCATCTACCCCAAGAAAACAATGGTCTCCCGCCTCCCCTGCCACCCGTGGAAGACGGCCCTCTGATTGGCAGGCAGCATGGCTGCGCAGGGGCCCTCTGGGCTTCACAGCAGCTCTGGGGCATGAGCAGGAAAAGCTGCCGGGCTCTAGGACAGTCAGACGTCCCTTCATATCCACATACTGCATCTGTGAGTTCAGCCCACTGTGGGTTCAACCAACCACAGGTCGAAAATGTTTGGAAAAAAACATTCCAGAAAGTTCCAAAAAGCAAAACTGAAATTTGCTTCAAAGCAAGTAGTAATGCTGAATCCACTGAATCCGCTCCAACGGAGGCATGCAGGCATCCCTCTAGGTATTATGAATAATCTAGAGATGATATAAGGTATGTGGGATTTGGCTAGTGGTAGGGGGCCTGCTTGGAGACCCTGGATTTGATCCCGAGCACAATAAAGAGGAAGGAAGGAAGGAAGGGAGGAAGGGAGGAAGGGAGGGAGGGAGGGGACACTCAAGGTTTTGAATGGGTCGTATGCAAATGCTATGCCATTTTACATAAGGGACCTGAGCGTCTGTGGATTTTGGCATGGGCAAGACTTTGCCTCGTAATACCAAGGGGTGACTCTAACTCTGGCTGCTTCACCTGATCCTGTGTGGCGGAACGTGAGAGCTGAGAGGCGACATTCTTTTACTTACTTAGATCATTTATTGAGCTCTTCCTGTGTCCTGACTCTCAGTCCCTGCTCTGAGGAATTTATGTCCTAGTGGGGGCGTGGTCAGACAGCACGTTATTAGTGATGCCTGTATGGAAACGATTTCAAATCGTGGTGTCCCCGTGGGATGGCGACAGACCCGATGAGAAGGATGAGGAACAAGGACAGTGGATTTCCAGAGAGGCGGCATCTGGGATGAGCAGGTGCTGGGTGGCCCAAAGAAGTGACAAGCTGTCAGGGTGGCCATGGCCGTGAGCCGGTAGGGGACAGAGTGCACTGGGGATATCAGCTGGGCCCAGACCCACGGGACCTGGGGAAGGAGTCTGAATTTGACCCTGCAGATGGAGGAGGGCCCCTGAAGGATTTCAGCCGGCGACTGGCAGCAGCTGAGTAAAGGTTTTAGAAAACTCACTTGGCTGCTTAGGAGGGAGGTTTGGAGGAGGGCGAGAGGTGAAGCAGGGGAGTGGCCGTGGAGACTGTCCAAACTGATTGTTGCTGAGGTTTTTCTGTTTTTTTTTTTTCTTTTTCTTTTTTTTGTGAGGAGGGAGTCAGGGGCACAATTTAAGAAGAAGAATTAGAATTGTTTTGTCATAATTTCTGGTAACATTTTACCAATGGAACAGAATTGCATTTAAAATGTGCATCGATTTTACTTTTTTAGATAATGTTAGCGTATTACAGGTCTGATCGATTATATAGACATATGCTTATGTTTTATACTAATGCTTGCAAATATTTATGGAAAAGTGGATTCTATCTGAAGAAATTTACCACAGAGGGCCATATTTTTAAATTTTTTAATTGACACATAGTAACTGCATTTACTTTTATTTGGTGCAGTGGGACATTCAGTGCATATGTACAGTTTGTAATGATCTGATCAGGGTAAGTCAATCTGTCCGATGGCCATATCCCTGACACATATAAAGGCAAGCTCAGGGCATCCCAGTTTAGCAGCGTCTGCAAGTTTGATTCATTTCAGAAATCTGAGCTCACCGTGTTGCCAAGGTGGCATTTTCTTAGCTCAGAACTGCTTACCTGGGTGCAGAACATCTAATATTTTATTTGGGAAGAATGCCTCATTGCTTTAGGCACCTGGAATCCTGGGCTTCATCTTTCTTGTTGCCCAAGTTTGATTCAAACTTGGACAAATCCTTTTGCTTTGTATTTCCGAGGTGCTTCCTGTAAAGATGGGTGACAGTAGTCTAGAAAGCCTGTCATCACAGCGGCTGGGTGAGAGCTCCCCGAGGCCTAGGAGAGACAATGGCACCTGCAAGGGCCCTGTGGTGGGAGGACGGGGCTGGGGGTGCAGCACCCCCAAAACAGCCTTTGGCGCTGGAGAGCAGAATGCAAGGTGGGGCTGATCTAGGATCATGTGTGGAGGTTGCCTGGGATTCTAACCTTCATATGACGTGCAAGGGGACACTGTTGGAGGGTTTAAATCAGGGAGCTCGATAAGGGTGATAGCTACGTTTCTCGTTTAATCCCCATGATAAATGTCTGTGCTGGGTAATATTGTCCCCCATTTTAAACCAGCAAGACATTTAGGACCATGGAGATGAAGTAGTTTACCCAAGGGTACCTGGAAGGGGGAGCCAGGAAACAGACTCCAGGTAGCCTGAGCCCATGGTCCTTTGTCCTCCGGGTCAGCCTACCTCCATAATAATATCACAGCAGCCACCGTTTTAGAATGCTTTGAACTCTTAAGATGAAAGATTTCCCTTAAATTACAGACTGGTATTATGCTGCAGAAACATGAGCGGCCACGGGAGAGTGGCTGAGACCGGGCACTCTGGAAAGGCCCCGAGTGTGTGGCTGCGCTTCAGTCCCCCCAGTGCCTAGCTGTCTGGTGGGGGCGTCTCATGGCAGCTATCAGCACCAAGAAGTTCTGGCTCCTCTGGCCGGTCATTTGACACTGCCATTGTTCATAAGGACACATGGTTCCATGAAGCGTGCACCCAGGGTTAGGGACTTGGAGTTGGGAAATCAGATCCGGGCAGTTCACATGTGGTTTCACTGGGGCATCCAAGGACAGGTTTCTCCTTCGTCCCTCCTGAGTACTCAGCTGGCTTCAGAGCATTCTTAGGGGCTGACGAAGGCATCGCTGTCTCGGTTGGGAACCCAAGAAGCCCTGTTCAGGGGCCAAGTGGGAAAACACCTGCCAGCCGTGGCCTGTGAGTTTCTTGAAGATGACGACGCGTGTCTCTTCTCTCCTAGTTGACCACGTTGTTCCCGAGCCTGGGACGAGCCTGCTGGCCGCCTTCGACCAGTGGAGGGAATGGGCCGACAGCAAGTCCTGCTGTGACTACTCTCTGCACGTGGACATCACCGAGTGGCATAAGGGCATCCAGGAGGAGATGGAGGCGCTGGTGAAGGACCACGGTAGGTGGCGCTGCCCCGACACCTGCTGCTGATGGCTGTGCTTCCGTCCAGGCTTTGGCAGGGCCCTGGGGAAACTCTGGGTACTGCCTCTGGATCCCAGTTGTGCTTTTTGCTGGTGCCTGGCCCTGAGCAAGGAGAGCGGGCTTTGGGCAGCAGCCTGTGCTCACAGGAGGGCCTAACCCCCTGCAGTCGTGGTTGGTAGAGAATGTGAGCCCTGCTACGGGCCTGTTTTTGGGTGGCAGCTGCCTACAGCTTGCTGGTCTCAGGGACCCTTGCTCTCTAGCCAGGCTGGGAGTTGGGGATGTGGTGAGCATTGGTTGAGCCCCATGAGGCTGCTGGGCAGTCAGGGTGCACCTGAGTCGTGAGTCCAGGGTCGATGTGAAAGTAGGGGGACACTTCACACCTAAGGGGTCTTTTCTGTTTCACAATTTCCAGGGATTGGAGAGATTCACTGGGAGGCGGGAGGAATCCACCTTAAGGTGTCTCCAGGACTCCGGTTCACAGGAGCCTGGGGGCTCAGGGGTTTGGTGGGGAAGTCAAACCACGTGGTGTTTCCAGGTCTTCTTGAACTTGCCTGTGGACTGGGTTTCTGGGGCCACTTGTTGACCTCACTGGGTCTTGACCTTCAGGGAAGCATCATGCATGTAGGGGACTTCCAGGCTCGGGCGTGCTGTGTGCTGTGATCCACAGCAGGAGGGAAACCTGGGCATGGATGTGGATGTGGATGGGGTGGGGATGGGGGGCAGCCACAGATGTGGTGCAGAATCTGCAGGATGGAGAGCTAGAACCTCAGCCTTATTTCTTTGCCCTTCCACAGGCTAGCTGTGTGACCTTGGGCAAGTTGCTTAAAGTTTATGGTTCTCCCTTAAGAAAAAAAAAAAAAATCTCCCACATGAGCATACTGCACTTCGATGTTTCTTTCCAGCTTGAAGATTCCACAAACTAGAAAGTGGGTAACCTTTGACCTTCTTCACATTTGAGAATAACCAGACTCCAATGGATTTAACTCTCAATATTTAGAGTGAATCTACTTTAAACCAGGCCTGAGGGTTACCATGACAACTGTTGCCTAGCGAGGAGAGAGGGGTCAGGATGTCCAGGAGCATTTAACTCAGGCAGCGCCCAGCACCCCAGGTGGCTTGAATTAAGCTCCAAGGCGAGGAGGTTGTCAGGACGATTGTTTAACATTGTGATGGATGTTGGGCAGGGGTGTTTGGTCTGCTGCCTCGGGAGGCGGGGAAGCAAGAACTCCGAGACGAAAGGATGGGCCCGGGATGTCTGCTTGTTGAGCCAATGGACCTTTTTTTTTTATTTAAAAAAGAGTTTCTTAAAAATCGGCAAGGAGTATAGTCTGCTTGCCAAAGAGAAGACATTTGGTACTGATCTTCACAGACCGAAACTTCTAATTCATTTTCTTGTTAAAGGCACGACAGACTTGTGTTGGGGGCAGCTTAAAAAAAATATATAGGAAGTGTGGTAAAATACACAGAACACAGAACTCACCCTTCTGACCACCTGTCGGTGTCCGGGAGAGTGGCATGAAGCACACCCATCTCCAGAACCCTTCCTCTTGTTGCACTGAAACTCTGCACATTAAACAATGCATCTCCACGTGCCCTTGTCTGCAGCCCCAGGCAGCCAGCCCCATTCCACTTCCTGTCTCTCCAGGCCCCTCACAGGAGTGGATCACATGGTATTTGTCTTATTGAAGGTGTCAGAATGTCCTTTTTAAG